TGCTTGGACCATCTTGTGTGGGACCATGAGCCCCCTGTCTCTTTTCACAACATCAATGGCCAGAATGAGAAGAAGATGCATAGGAAACCCACTTTCTTTTTGAGGTTTTCCAGGTGATTGGGCGATGCATGTGAGGCCGTGTCTGCGGTGCAGCGGCCCTGGGTGATGCAGTTTGTTAAGAATTTGGTTGCTAGTCAGGACGCAGTATCGCACCAATGAAATATACAATGTTCCTCTGGTTCTTTAATGCTTCCCCCTCACTGCCCCACTATCATGATCTGAGATCTGGCATGGGGTGCACATGAGCAACCATCACTTGGAACTGTGGGTAAGAAGAAATAATACCTCACGGATAAAATTTAAAGGAAACATTTTTCAAGAAAGCATGTCCCTTGAGCCACTTTTCTAAGAATAACGTAATGCTATTTTAATCAGGGTTGCTGTTTTATCCTTCCCTATAGGGCTATAAACAGGAGCCCTGGGGTGTTGTGTTACTCGTTGGGCTGCTAACTGCAAGGTCAGCAGTTTGAAACTACCCGTGACTCCAAGGGAGAAAGATGGGACTTTCTACTCCTGTAAAGAGTTGCAGTCTGGGTCACTCACAGGGGCAGCTCCACCGTGTTCAGAGGGCAGCTCTGAGTCGGCATGACTGGATAGCTGTGAGTGGGGTTTGGGTTTATAGTGTTATAAAACAATTCTCACTCTGGATACAGGTCACCCCTCTCTTCCTCTTTGTACCTAGTCTTCCTACCAAAGTTAATTGAACATTTATGGTCTAGAGTCTAGACTATAGACGACCAAGCTCTAGATCAAGGCCAGCAGTTCAAAACTACTAGCTGCTCCTCAAGAGAGAGATGGGGCTTTCTACTCCTATAGAGTTACACTCTCAGAAACTCAGTGTCAGTTCTATCCTGTCTACAGGGTCGCTGTGAGTTGGCATTGAGCCAGTGGTGATGAGTTGAGAGAGAAAGTTTAAGATGACGGCCTGACTGAGAGAACTTGTGTGTGGGCACCTTGAGGTGGCAGAGACAGGCGTAATAAGCATGCTGTGTTTGGGATTAAGGGGCGCCTGTATGACCTGCAGCCCCAGTGGTAACACTTCATGCCTTACCCTCACACACTGGTGGGTCACTATCACGGAACCAGTGCCTACAGCACTATCACCGCCGCCTGCCAGGAGGAAGGTGACCGCACAGCCGAGCCTTCTTTAGATTCGGAAGGCCAGGCAGCACGTCAGCCAGGCCATTTTAAACTTCCAAATCCCCGACAAGACTCACCAAAAGATAGGACATGAACTAGACTATTAGGCATTCTGAAGTGCTGCGGTGTGAACAGAAAGTTGGCAGTTCGAGCTCCCCGGGGCCTCTGTGGGACAAATGACCTCCTCCTCCTGCAGAGTTGAGTCTGGGAGACACGACAGGGCCGTGCCACTCTGTCCTGTAAGGTCAACCTAAGTGGGAAGGCACTTGAGGACACACCACACAACCACCACAAGACAACAAAAGGAAGAAAACCGCTTCTAGGGGAAGTTCTGTTAAAAGTTCTGCTGGGTCAAGTGTGTGGTCCTGGGGAAGGAGAGGAGCATGCCCCAGAGGAAGGGGCAGTGCTGCTTTTTTATTTTTCAATAAGACCTAGACGTTTTGTCCTGAAGAAAGATGTAGTGGAAAGAATAGGATGGGGGTGGGGGAGAAGTTCCTGAAAAAAGTTTCAACTTAAGATGGGGTTCCATTCTGTGATTTTTAAAAGTTGTAATTATTTACTGTCCTTTTATTATCAGCATTTTTATCAGTCCGATCTTTATTTGTCTCTGGGGATTGGAAACAGGACATGTTAAACTTCTCCTGTGACCATCTGAGAATGCACACCAACACATTATATATTGCAACACTGGATGCTGTACACATTTCTAATAGTAAGAGGTTTGGTTTTTATTTTTTAAAGGATGGTCGTAAGTGCAGTTTGCTGTGACCGGAATACGTTTTAAGTCAGGGACTAACTGTACTAGGAAATGCTCCCAAATCATCATTCTTGGATAAAAAGAATCCAAAACAGAAAGGACAAAACATCCAATTTTTCAAGGAGCAGGAATAAAGATGAAAAAATAATTCACTTAGGACACGATGAAAATGATAATTTATGTAACTAGGAGACATTAACCCATGGCCATCCAGCTAATTCTGGCTTATAGAGACACAATTGGATAGAGAAGAACTGACCCTTAGGGTGTTCAAGTCTGTACATCTCGGGTTTTTTTTCCCCTTTCGGAGCAGCTGATGATTTTAAACCACCTTTTGGTTGGCAGCTGAGTGCTTCAATCACTGAGCCACCAGGGTTTTGAAGAACAAATTAATAAAGGATGCACTCCAAATTCAAACTTACTGCCATCTAGTTGAGAGGAGGTCAAGGGTCGACTGTGCTCCATCGAGTTTCCAAAGGCTTTTTCAGAAGCAGAGCTCCAGGCGTTTCTTCCTAGGCACCTCCCAGCCCCCCACCCCCCACCCCGCTGGACTTGACATCCGAGTCTTTGCAGCAGCTGAGAGCATGAGCCAGAGGCATTACCCGGGGACTCCCATCACAGTAGCTTCCTCATTTGTCTTCCTAGCTCCAGACTGGTTTTCCCAGTGTTTCCTCTCAACTTCTGCCACCAGAAAAGTCTGTAGCTGTGTGCCTGTCTGTACCCTGCGCTTGCCTAAATATTTCAGTGGATCCCCCATCACTTGCGAAATGCTTCCACCCGAAGGGCACAACTGGCTCTCTGGACAGACTGTGTTCTCTGCACAGCTGTCCCTTCTGCCTGGAATGCCACCTGGGTTGCCCCTCCTCCCCCACCTCCCGCGTCCCGATAGTTCCTTCACAGGGCATCTCTCACTTGTCACTGTCGCCACACACTGGCTCCTCCAGATGCTGGGATCCTGTGAGAGTGGTACTATGTCTTTCCAGTCTCAAACTCCAAACTTTAGTCGCTCAAGAAGAAGGAGGGAAAACAGAAGATGAAAGTATGAACCTCATCTATGCATAAACTTTCTGAATTAGTACTTCTCTTGCTAGCTTTTCTTGAACTCCAAACACAAATTTCCAATAGGTAGCCGGGCAAAATACAAAAGAAAACACAACAAAAAACATCCCATCGTTCTCTGTCCCAAATGTTCCCCCTCTTGATGTCCTTATTCTCGGTGATGGCCTAGCCATCCTTGTAGACATTTGTGCCTGACCTCTCAGCGTCGTCCACGGCAGCTTCCCCCTCTCTTGCCACATCTCATCTGTGGCCACGCACCGTGGCTTCTGTCTCCATGGTCTCTTACCAAGGACACGCTCCGTTTCTCCTTCATCGACTCTCGAGTCCTCGCTGCCCAAGTCTCCGCTCCCTGCGTGGTGTAAATGCTTGGCCACTCACCAAAAGGCTGGAGGCCACTCAGAGGTTCCTTGCAAGAAGGGCTAGACGATCACCTTTCAAAATCCAGCCGCAGAAAACCCTTCGGAGCACAGTGCTGCTGATAAAACACGAGACCCCCACGATGATTCAGCCTTCGACTTGACAGCAACTGGTTGGGGAGACCCCGTTACAGACAGGTGCAATAGGGTCCTCCACTCTTTCTCTGCTCTGCTTCAACTTCATTCCCCATCTCCTGCCACCTCCATTGGGAAGCCTTTCGTCCAAGGGCCATCGCCATCTGGGTTCCTGACAACTGAGGCAGGCTAAAATCCCCTCAGGGAGTGACCGCCCTCGTTGAGTAACTTCAGGGATCCTCTTTGGGAAGTATCACTCTTCCTTTCAGCTCGATCTTACAATTCTATCTTTCCCTGACCCTTCTCAGCAGGAACCAGTCTTTGTTCTAAGCATGCATAGAAGCTTATTTGCACCTCTTGCACCCTATCAATCCACTCAACACATCTTCGGAGCAAATAAATCCACCTGATGGCAAGAGTTCTGGTGGGGAAAGAAGAGAGAGGTAAGGAAGGCGGACATGGGCCCTGCCCCTTAGAGCAACACTATGGAGGTCAAATCAACCTCCTCCTGGGTGACTTTGTGATGGGCTGGAGATGCTGCATAGTCCCCATCAGACAGACAGACAGACAGACAAACAGACATGCACACACAGTACACACAGCCCCCAAACATCACCTGCTCCCATGACTGCTCTTGGCTGACAATCAGGAGCCGTGGGAAGCTCTGCTGGAAAGCAGGAGAGAGAGGCTGGGTGAGACTGGTCTCCTACCACCCCGCTCTTCACAGCAAGGCAGATGGAGATTGCTAAATAAAAAGAAAGGAAGGGCGGTCTTTCTTTGCTTATTTTAAGCCCTGAATCGAGGTGTTTAAAATAAAAGATTCTTTTCACTTCAGATGCAAGATTCTAGGCTATTTCTCGTCTCTCGCCAGCTGCCCAGCAAGGTGTGGATCGTGTGGGCTTTTGAACTGACTGCTTTGGTTCAGATGACGGAAATACTCCAAGAATGCTCGAGTCCGAGTACCAAGAAAGCAGAGGTGATGGTTTGAAATAAGTGCCCAGCGAGGGTCCACATTTTGTAAATTAAGATGTGGCCCGGCTCTATGACAGGCTGCTGGGATGCAGCCTCTCAGCAGACAGTTTGGTTTGGTTTCTGTTTTTTATAAGGAATGTTCAAATCACAGGAAGTGAGTAGATTCCTGGAACCATCAGGCTGGGACACCACTCAACAAGGCACCTCTGGGCACATCCATTTCATCTCATTCAGGCTTCCTGTCATTCCTTCTCGAAACGTCCTTGTGCATTTGACCTTGGAGGACACTGTCTGAGGCTGGAAAAGATGGTACTTTGGAGGCTGAGGGATCGATCCCTTTCTCCAAGCCACTGAGTGGTTTTCTGGGTGTGCTGCTGAGAGCGGGTCCCCCAGCCGAGAAGAGCCTGGTGTGACACCGAGTCCTGCGGCCAGGCTGCCACCTAGTCGGGTAGCTGTGAACCCCACATCTGTCTGGAACACCCATGCTTCGAGGGATAGGGGATACAGGAAGACACAGCTGGTTGCTGCAATACACAAAGGTTTATTTTTGACTTTTTTTAAAATTTTCTGAAGACAAAATATAATAAAACTGAACATCAATGGATTTTGTACAACAAAAACGGCTTTTAATGTGGAACAGACAGTCCATCAATGGTGCTGAGTCTCGGAATGGCTTCCCTTTTTCAAAGTCATGCTTGCCTCGGAGGGCAGGGCGTTGGCACGGAGAGGCGAGCCGGCTGTCCTTAGACCCGCGTCAGCTGGTGCCACAGGCTGGAAGGCAAGATGTTCTCCACTTTCTCCATGACGAAGTTTAAGGGGGCAAACAAGGTGCTGAGGAACTGCAAGGAAACCAGAGAGGCCGCCGTCAGCCGAGCCCGAGCAGAGTCCTCCGGGCCAACCTCTCCCACCCACGCTCCACAGCTCCAGCCTTGGGGCTGTGGGCTTCTTTCTCAGGGGCCTGCGGTTTCATATTTATGTTTACAGGAGGCAGAGGATGCTTATCAGACCTGCATTCCAGCCCCAGGGCTCTGGGCGATAAGGGGAGAAGTGTCTGCCGACAGCCCCCTCTGCCCCTGACAGCGGGCCCACAGGCTGGGCGCTTCCATGCCGGCTGTGGCCTGTGGCTGCCCGGGCAGGTGTCCAGGGCCATCAAAATGGGCTAGCGGTGGGCAGCCAGCGGCAGGAGGCTGAAGCACAGTGACTCCTGAGCCCACCTGCTCCCCCGAGCTGGGAGAAGAACTTACTGTAAAGGAAAAGGTCAAGTTTGTTACAGGGCTGGGAGGTGCTCTGGGGGCCTGTACTCGGTCCTGTCCGTCTGTTTCTCAGGCTGGGGAAGGCAGCTGAGCACTTCCGCCACTGGCCACTCCCCAGAGTGACCTCTGCCAGTTCGGCTTTGCAGAGAATAATGTGCATGAGCTCTGCCTTTGACAGAAGCTGAGTGCCAGGGTCTGAGACTCGTTAACATCTCAGACCCGTTCGGTTTCCTTGTGAAGCATCAGCCTTGTTCCACAAAACTTCCACCACCTGGCAGAGAGGTGCCCTACCCCTGGCCAAGGTGGGGGAGAGCCTGTGGACGGCTTCCTCCATAGCACCTTGCTGGCGCCTGGACCATGGTTCTGCGCCCAGAGGCCTGGATCCCTGCACAGCCATGCGGCACCAGCCTGGGCAGGGCGTGGGGGATGCGAGTGCAGATGCAGTGCGCGGCACGGTCCTCCGGCTGAGCGCGGGTGTGGAACAGGTGCCTCTAATGAGCACCTGTCCTGTGGATGGTGGGTCCTCGAGAAGGGAAACCACAGGAAGTTTCCACACACAGCCCCGGGCTGTGGTCATCGGTACAAGGCAGGGATTCTGACAGGACTTGGTCCCACAAGTCCGGTGGCATGGCTGATGTGACCGGTTCCTAAAATGGATGCGGAGGGCAGGGCGGAGACTGAGTGGGAGCAGGAGCCTACGGGACGGGAGCAAAGGTACTGCTCTGTCCCCTGAGGGAATGCACCCACTAGGATGAGCGCCCGGGGAGCCCTGAGCCACACTGGAATGAACGGAGATGCTGCTACAAAGTTCATGCCGAAGAAAGGCTTTTTTTCTCTTTTCAGTGCATTAGTTTAGTTGTTTGTTTGGGTCACTGACCTGACTTGAATAAAAAGCATAAAAGCGAAGCGAGGTCCCTCAAAATCAGGAGAGCTTCCCCCGCTTGACACCTGCTAGCTGCCCGTCTTCTCACACTGCCTGACAAGCTAGTGCACCCGTTTCCTGCCCCCCTCCTCCACTGCAGCATGGGCCTCTCTCCCCCAGGCTGGAGGACCATCCGTGGAAGGATGCAGCCCTCTGGGGGGGTGGGGG